GCCTTAAAGCCTGACCCCTCAACACCCTAAACCCTAAACCCTAAACCCTAAACCCTAAACCCTAAACCCTAAACCCTAACCCTAAACCCTAAACCCTAAACCCTAAACCCTAAACCCTAAACCCCACAATCCCCCCTCAAAGCCACGGAACCAAAGACTCCACGGAGCCCGTACATTTCGTCGTGTCCCGGCCCCTGGGCTTTGGGGTTTCGGGTTTAGGGTTTAGGGGTTGGGGTTTAGGGTTTAGGGTTTCGGGTTCAGGGTTTAAGGTTTAGGGTTTAGGGTTTAGGGTTCAGGTTGGGATGTTCCCCCTTGTACTCACAGTCCTTAATCGAGCTTATAATGCCCCCGATTCTAATCCCTGTTGAGGACTGTTAGTATCTAGGCTGCCCAGTAACCAAGGCTTAAACAGGGTGCCCTTTTTTTGCTTAAAGGGGTTTATAAGGGAACCTAAACCCCCCAAAAAGGGAATAAGGGTACTACTGGGCATCCTAGGTATAGGGGTGAACATCCCAAGGTTCAGGTCTAAGGGCTGTGAGGATTCAGTGGGTTTAGGGTTTAGGGTTTAGAGTTTAGGGTTTAGGGTTTAGGGTTTAGGGTTTAGGGTTTAGGGTTTAGGGGGTTGTGGAGGTTAGGGTGAAGGCCTGATAAGTAGACGACGAAGACTAGGTTTTGGGGGGTTTACGTAGGCTCTTCGTGGAGGTGGGAGGGGGTTTTAGGGTTTAGGATTTAGGGTTTAGGGTTTAGGATGGTTTAGGGTTTAGGGCGTAGGGTTTAGGGTTTGGGGTGGGGGGGGGGGGGGTGGGGGGGGGGGGGTGGGGGGGGGGGGGGTGGGGGCTGCGCTGCGGGGGGTCTGCTGTCCCGCAACTGCTGTCACCGCTGCTGTCGCTGCGGGGCGCTTTGTTGTTGTGTGGGGGGAGATCTTTCGTTTTTGTCTCCTTTGGAGTACTCTGATGGTTTCCCTAAACCCGAAACCGCCCTAAACCCTAAGCCCGAAACCCTAAACCCTAAACCCTAAACTCTAAACCCTAAACCCTAAACCCTAAACCCTAACACTCCCTTGCGGCAGCCAAACCGCACTTGCGGCTGTTCGTCCGTCTTCATGAAGCGCAGGGAGGAGGAGAAAGTGGGCGACGCCTCGCGGAGGTTTAAGAAGCTCAGGGCCTGAGAGCTTGGGGTTAAGGCGGTTTTAGGGTTTAGGGTTTAGGGTTTAGGGTTTAGGGTTTTAGGGTTTAGGGTTTAGGGTTTAGGGTTTAGGGTTTAGGGTTTAGGGTTTAGGGTCTCGCGTTTCGGGTCTAAGGTTGAAGTTTTGGTGATCGTCGCTTTACCTTAGGGGCTTAGGGTTTAGGGTTTGGGGTCTAGGGTTTAGGGTTCAGGGTTCAGGGTTTAGGGTTTGGGGTTTGGGGTTTGGGCTTTGGGCTTTGGGCTTTGGGGTTTGGGGCTAGGGCTCAGGATTTAGGGTTTAGGGTTTAGGGTTAAAAGAATTGCTACTGGGCGTCCTAGGCCCTTACACTGCAAGCCCAAACCCTGATTAACAACACAGCCCCCCACCCGTTTTGGGTTTTGGGTGTTGGGGTTTAGGGTTGAGGGTATTCCTGAAGCCGAAAAAGGCGCGTTGGGGTTTAGGGTTTAGGGTTTAGGGTTTAGGGTTTAGGTTAGGGCGCAAACCCCACACACACGGCTTGCCTTCGGGACTTGCATCCTCCGCTTCCTAGGGGCGAGTGGGGGGGCTTTCAGGTTTGGAGGGTTTAGGGTTTAGGGTTTAGGGTTTAGGGTTTAGGGTTTGGGGTTTGGGGTTTGGGGTTTGGGGTTTGGGGTTTGGGGTTTGGGGTTCGGGGTTCAGGGTTCAGGGTTTCGATGAGCACGACCTCCAGAAGTTCGCGGGTGCGTGGAAGGAACTCGGGGCTAAGTAGGGTTTCGGTTCGGGCCTGGGGTTTAGGACCTTCCCATACTTCGCTTAGAAATACTTAGAAGCATACATTAAAAACATCATGTGTTTCAATATTCTCTCCGGTTGTATATGAACAAAAAAGAACGTACCTCCTGAGGGAACCACTTCGGGCCTCAATAATTAAAATAGTGTTTTTTTTTTTTCTCTTGGGGGGGGGGGGGGGGGGGGGGGGGGGGGTGGGGGGGGGGGGGGTGGGGGGGGGGGGGGGGGGGTGGGGGGGGGGTAGTACTGTAGAAAAGTATAGGGACCATAACGGAATAGCCTTAAGGGACCTGAGCTTCGAAAATCTAGGAAACTGTAGCTTCGCGTGCCTCATGTGGGCCAGGGCCGTCTTCGTAGGAACTGGAACCAGGCCCATGACCTCGGCAGGCGCTGTGCCGTGCTTGGAGGTTCATGGCGGTTTAGGGTTTAGGGTCTAGAGTCTAGGGTTTAGGGTTTAGGGTTTGAGGTTTAGGGTTTAGGGGTTAGGGTTTAGGGTTTAGGGTTTAGGGTTTAGGGAACTTATAACTGTACTTGCAACCATATTAGGGCACTTAAAGGGGCTGTAAGTGGGCTATAAGTACAGGTAACATTGGTTCATAAGTACCATGAACCTCCAAGTGGGACGTCTTGAAGGGCTCCTTCGGAGTCATGCTTGAGGGTTTGGGGTTTAGGGTTTAGGGTTTAGGGTTTAGGGTTTAGGGTTTAGGGTTTAGGGTTTGGGGTTTGGGGTTTGGGGTTTGGGGTTTGGGGTTTGGGGCTCAGGGCTTGGGTAGATAGGAGGGAGAATAAGCTAGTTGAGTCCTTCAAAGATTCTCCCCCCCCTCACATAACCAATGATACCTGTACGTATAGCCCACTTAGAAGCCCCTTTAAGTGCCTAATATGTTGCAAGTACAGTTATAAGTTCCCTAAACCCTAAAGCCTAAAGCCTAAACCCTAAACCCTAAACCCTAAACCCTAAACCCTAAACCCTAAACCCTAAACCCTAAACCCTAACCCTAAACCAGATTCCCCCCCCCCCCCCAATAAAAACTAAGACTCTTCAGGTTTTGGGGAACCCCTGCAGCTGACATTCCCAAGTCAAGAAGGCCCCCCACCCCCCCAAAGCTTACATGCCCAGAGCCCTCTAAGGGTTTAGGGTTTAGGGTTTTTAGGGTTTTTTTGGGTTTTTAGGGTTTTTAGGGATTTTAGGGTTTCTAGCGTTTTTAGGGTTTTTAGGGTCCAGGAGGTAAGGCTTCTGACCCCAAACCCTAAGCCCTTGGATGCATTTTGCTTGAAGCGGGCGTCGAAAAAGGGAGCATTCAGCATCGAGGAACACTGGAACGCAAGGTTTGGGGTTTACGCTTTGGGGCCGAGGGCTTGAGGCTTAGGGCTTAGGGAACGAAACCCTAAACCCTACACCCTACACCCTAAACTCTAACCCCTACACCCTCAACCCTAAACCCTAACCCCTACACGCTAAACCCTAAACCCGAAACCCTAAACCCTAAACCCTAGCATGGGTTAATGCAAACAGCCCGATGATGTCACCGGTGGCTAAGCCTGCCACCGACACTGCGACCTCCGCCCGCAGGGGTGCTGCCTCCCGGCATTAGGGTTTAGGGTTGAGGGTTTAGGGTTTAGGGTTTAGGGTTTAGGGTTTAGGGTTTAGGGTTTAGGGTTTAGGGAGGTGAAGCGTACAGTAAACCTTAAAACCCTGAAGCCCTTAAACCCTGAAACCTTGCAACCCTTAAACTCTAAAGCCCTAAAGCGCTTCAAACCATAAGCGCTTAAACGCCAAACCTTCAAACTCTGAAACCCTATACCTTAAAACCGTTAAGCCCTAAAACGCTGCACCCCGAACCCTAAACCCCCATACCCTAAACCCCAAAACCTAAGCCCAAACCCTACACCCCAAACCTTAAAACCCTAAAGTCTAAATCCTAAGCAGCCTTTCAAAAACGGCCCCCTAAACCCTAAACCCTAAAGCCAGAAGTCTCGGTGAACTGCTTCGGCGCCCCGAAGCCTCTGCAAACACCCTATATACACGTCTTTAGGGCCTCAGGATTGAGGGCGCAGGGCTTAGGGTTTAGGGCCTAGGGTTGAGGGTTTAGGGTTTGGGGTTTAGGGTTTGGGGTTTAGGGTTTAGGGTTTAGGGCTAAGGTTTAGGGCTTGATCAGGGGGCTTCATGGTTTAGGGTTCGTTTTGAAGGGCTGTCCGGGCGCAGGGGATGGCTTTCGGGCTTTGTTGGGTTCGAGCTTTCGACCTGGGGTTTTGGGTTTTAGGGATTCGGGTGTTTAGGGTTTAGGGTTTAGGGTTTTGGGTTTTAGGGATTCGGGTTTTTAGGGTTTTCGGGTTTGGGGGTTTAGGGTTTAGGGCGTAGGGCATCCTTACCCCCGATCCTGAGCCCCCTTGACGTTGGGCTTTAGGGTTTTGGGGCTTGGGTTTAGGGTGTAGGGCATCCTTACCCCCTATCCTGAGCCCCCTAGAGGTTGGGGGGCATCCTTATCCGGGTTGGGGTTTGGGTTTAGGGTTTAGGGTTTAGGGTTTAGGGTTTAGGGTTTAGGGTTTAGGGTTTAGGGTTTAGGGTTTAGGGTTTAGGGTTTAGGGTTTAGGGTTTAGGGTTTAGGGTTTAGGGTTTAGGGTTTAGGGTTTAGGGTTCAGGGTTCAGGGTTTAGGGGTGTAGGGCCTCCTTACCCCCAATCCAAAGCCCCCTGGACGCCCTAGACTCCCTCAATCCCAAACCGAAAAACCTTCAGCCCACTGGCCAAACTTGCACGAAACGCTCGGCAGGATCTTTGGGGTGTCTGGAAGCCTACAGCTTGGGTTTGGGGTTTTACAAGGGTTTATGGTTTAGGTTTGAGGGTTTCGGATTTGGGGTTTAGGGTTTAGGGTTTAGGGTTCTGGGTTAGGGTTTAAAGTCTAGGGTTTAGGAGGGCAACAAAGTGAGGGTTAGGGGCTGAGGGCCGAAAAGTAACACCCTGAGCCCCTGAATTCGAAACCACTGAACACAAAATGCCTAACTTGGAAAGCAGACTCTAAAACCACTACAATCCTCCTTAAACCCTAAACCGCCAAACCCTCTAAACCCTAAACCCTAAACCCCAAACCCTACACCCGCTTCTGGATGGCCTTCATCTCTTCGTCCTTCGACACGCAGGGGATGCTACTATGCTTGCCCCAGTGAGTTTAGGGTTTAGGGTTTAGGTTTTAGGGTTTAGGGTGGCTTGAAAGGCATCCTAAATCCAAAAAGGGGAACAAGGGCAGCATTAGGCATCCTAGGTCATTTCGGGGGTTAGGGTTTGGAGTTCAAGGATTGAACAGGACTCATGTGTTGCAGCGGTGCTGCTGGGGGTTTAGATCCTCAGGATTCAGGGTTTCGGGCTTGGGCGGGCTTAGGGTTTAGGGTTTAGGGTTTAGGGTTTAGGGTTTAGGGTTTAGGGTTTAGGGTTTAGGGTTTAGGGTTTAGGGTTTAGGGTTTAGGGTTTAGGGTTTAGGGTTTAGGGTTTAGGGTTTAGGGTTTAGGGTTTAGGTTTAGGTTTAGGGTTTAGGGTTTAGGGTTTAGGGTTTAGGGTTTAGGGTTTAGGGTTTAGGGTTTAGGGTTTAGGGTTTAGGGTTTAGGGTTTAGGGTTTAGGGTTTAGGGTTTAGGGTTTAGGGGGTTTAGGCTTAGGCGCTTAGGGCTCGCGGTGCAGGATGCAAAGAAGCTTGGGGCTCAGGGATTGTTTGGTGCTGGACGCACTTTTTTGCCTGCACCCTAAAGACAAGAGCTTCTGGGGTTCTGTCAACGCCGACGCCCGGGCAGAGGAGCACGCTGCGCAAACTGAAATCGGACGGCGCCGTCGAAGGCGCCGCCGACGCCTGCGACGTCTGTGACGCCTGCGTTCCTCTCGACGCCGACGACGGCGACGAGTACACGTCCAGTCCATGGCTCCATCCGTTGCAACAAACCCTAAACCCTAAACCCTAAACCCTAAACCCTAAACCCTAAACCTGCAACAGGCTCAGGAACTTCAGGGTTCGAAGCATACCCTACATTGCCCCAAGGCCCTCAACGCTACCCCCCCTTACTAGGGACCGCACCACACCGGTGCCACAAGCCCTAAGCCAAGCCCTAAAACGGATACCTTCAGGGCTTAGGGTACATTCCAGCGACTGCTACTACTAAGGGGAATGGTAAACCTTGAACTTGCCCTGCTACTACTAAGGGGAGTTGTAAGCCTTGAACTTGACCCCGTTTGAGGGTTCAGGTTTGCGATTTTTAAGCTTAGAGGGGGAACCTTCAAGGGAACCAGGGGGGGGGGATTAGTATAGGGGCCTGAATAACTAGAACAGGGTTTCGGGGGTTATTAGTATACTTATATAGGGCCCAGAAGGGAATACTGGAGTAGTATTTATTCCGACCTATATAGCAGGCAGAGTGCGGGATGCCATGCTTTACGAGGCCAGGTTGCGGAGGCCTAAACTCGACTTGATCCAATCATTCGCTCCAAGTCCCCTAAAACCTGCAACCCCAAAAACTGCCAAAACAAATTTACAATACATATATATATATACATATATAACATAAATGTATAATATATATATATATACAAATACTTAATAAATAAAAAAAAAAAACCTAACAACTTCTAAGCCGTCCTGGGTGGACGACAGGAAGTCCGAGATCACGTTCTTGTCCTCCTTGGGCCGCTGGAGCAGCCTGGGGCGCGCAAGTGGAGGTCTTCAAGGTGCCCTAAACCCTAAACCCTAAACCCTAAACCCTAAACCCTAAACCCTAAACCCTAAGCCCTAAGCCCTAAACCCTAAACACCCTAAACCCTGAATCCATGCACTGTAGGGTCTCGGGCCAAGTTTTGGGTTTGGGGTTTTGGGGTTGTGGGGGTGCAGGGTGTTAGCACTTTAGGGTTTTTGGGGTTTAGGCTACAGGGTCCGTTCGCTGGCGGATGCCGTAGTCTGGGTCTTGGCGAAGGTCTTCAAAGAATTGGCGGGTGATACCCTAAACCCTAAACCCTAAACCCTATACCCTAAACCCGGAGTTCGGATAGCCTGGGGCTTCAGGTCGGCGGACCAGGTGGCTGCTACTGCACCCGAATCCTTAACATCTAAACCCTGAATCCCAAAATCCTAAACCCTCTACACCCATAACCCACAAACCCTAAAACTCTAGGCGCTACATGGGTAGTTCTCTACACCCTGATTCCCAAGATCCTAAGCCCTCTGCATCCTGAATCCCAAAATTCAAAAACCTGTACACCCTAACCCGTAAACCCCAAACGGGTAGCTCTCTACGGTAGGGTCCCTTATTTGGGTCCCCTATACTATACGGCCCCGAAATACACAGGACCTCCAAAAGGGACCCTAATCAGAAAACTACCCCAAACCCTAAACCCCAAACCCCAAACCCTAAAACCCCAAACCCCACACCCTAAAACCCCAAACCCCAAACCCTAAAACCCCAAACCCTAAACCCAAAACCCTAAAACCCCAAACCCGAAACCCCAAACCCTGAACCGGAAGCCCTGCAAGCCAAGCAACAACGGGTCCTCCGTGGTCCACTCTTTGGTGCCGCCCTCTGCCACCACTTCTGTCAGGGCCAGCTCCACGTACCCAACCACCACCTCTCAGCGGGGTTTAGGGTTTAGGGTTTTGTAGGGTTAGGGTTTAGGGTTTAGGGTTTAGGGTCCAGGGTTTAGGGTTGAGGGCTTCCGAGAGCGAGGTTCTGAGTTAGCCCTGACTATGGGCCCCTATGAGGGTCTCTCACGAATGTCAGTATACTCCCAAACCTGAAACCCTCCCACCCAATATCGGCTAAACTTAACCTTATCCCTGAACCCTAACTCTGAAACCCAAACCCTCATGGGGCCTTCTCGTTCGAGATGACGGAAATCTGCAAAGGCTCTGTCACTGCTGCGGCACGCGACACCTTTTAAGGTTTAAGGTTTAGGGTTAGGGTTTGGGCTTTAGGGTTTAGGGTTTAGGGCTTTGGGCTTAGGGCTTCGGGCTTAGGGTTTAGGGTTCAGGATTCGGGTTCAGGAAGGGAGTCGAAGAGGGTTCCCGAAACCCTAAACCCTAAACCCTAATTAAACCCTAAACCCTAAACCCTAAACCCTAAACCCTAAACCCTAAACCCTAAACCCATGTGAGGGTTTCGAGGTTTTGGGGTTTGGGACTTTGGCGGCTTGGGGTTTAGGGTTTACGATTTGGGGTTTAGCGTTCAGGGCTTGGGGTTTAGGGTTTGTCGTCAGCCGTGCGCCACCAACTGGATTTCAGGGTTTGGGGCTTCGGGCTTAGGGTTTAGGGCTCTAAACCCTAAACCCTAAACCGTGGGTATCTCAGCTTCATAGGGTTTAGGGCTAGGATTTAGGGTTTAGGGTTTTTGGTTTTGAGTCTAGGGTTTTGGGTCTAGGGTTTCGGGGCTTCGGGGAGCTTTAGGGGGCTTTATGCTGCTTTGTGTTCAAGCTGTATGGCTTTCGCATTTTGGGAGTTGCGGTTGATCCCAACATTCCGACACAGTACAGGGCTTCTATGGGTTTGTAGGCTTCATAGGGGCTGAGGTGTTTAGGGCCCTAAACCCTAAACCCTACACCCTCCACCCTAAACCCTAAACCCTAAACCCTAAACCCTAAACCCTAAACCCTAAACCCTAAACCCTAAATGGGTTTGCCCTAAAGCCTAAACCCTTTGGTCTGGTCCCCCCAGCCAGGCGCACCTGGAAGCAGAGGACGTACCTTAGCAGCTCAGGGGGGCCCTGGGGCTTGCTTGGAGGTTCATGGTATTTATTAACTACTTATAACTGTACTGGTTTAGGGTTTAGGGTTTAAGGTTTCGGGTTTAGGGTTTCGGGTTTAGGGTTTAGGGTTTAGGGCTTAGGGTCTAGGGTTTAGGGTTTAGGGTTTAGGGTTTAGGGTTTAGGGTTTAGGGTTTAGGGTTTAGGGTTTAGGGTTTAGGGTTTAGGGTTTAGGGTTTAGGGTTTAGGGTTTAGGGTTTAGGGTTAGGTTTTAGGGTTTAGGGTTTAGGGTTTAGGGTTTAGGGTTTAGGGTTTAGGGTTTAGGGTTTAGGGTTTAGGGTTTAGGGTTTAGGGTTTAGGGTTTAGGGTTTAGGGTTTAGGGTTTAGGGTTTAGGGTTTAGGGGGGGGTACTTAGGACCCTGTTAGCGCACTTAAAGGGCTCATAAGTGGGTCATAAGTACAGTTCTAAGTGGTTGATAAGTACCATGAACCTCCAAGATAGGGGCCTAGACCCTAAGGCTTCAACCCTTCAAGACTGAACCCCAAACCAGTAGGATGTAAACCCTGAACTACCCCTATAGGCCCCAAACCCCTAAACCCCAAACCCCCCAACGCTGAACTCTAACCCCCACCCCCACCCCCCGGCCAAAAAAACAGAATATGTATATATATATATATATATGTGTGGCAGGAACCTTTATGTATCATTTGACTTCCTTTTGTTGTTTTACTATAGAGAGCTCTACTAATTATATTTGATGCTATGTTTCTAGCACTATTCGTTCTATTACAACTTCTGCTTGTTTTTCGTCGTCATGATGACGCCCTTCAAAAACATGTGAGACGAGCCATCACCCTCGCAGGCTTCTGTGATCCCCGCAAGAGATCTTGGTTTAGGCTTCTGAAGGTGATGAAGAGCCACCCCACCACTCGGTGGCAACACTCTCACGAATCAGATCACAGGCTGTTGAGAGTAGCCGCTTAATGTGTGCTGAGCTGGGTCCACTGTGAGAGCGAACCATCCCGAAAACCCTAAACCCTAAACCCTAAACGCCAAACCCTAAACCCTACAGCTCCCCAAGCTCTCAGCAGGACTAAGAGACTTTTTCAATGGCCCCATACTCGGTAAGGCCAGGGAAGTGGCCAGCTTCACTTCTCAGAATTTCGGATAGCATCCGCAGGGTGAGGGTTTAGGGTTTAGGGTTTAAGGTTCAGGGTTTAGGGTTAGGGTTTAGGGTTTGGGTTTTAGGGTTTAGGGTTTAGGTTTTAGGGCTTATAGTTTAAAGTTTAGGGTTTAAGCTTTAGGGTTTACGGTTTAGAGTTGGGAGATGGGGAAGAATAAACTTTTGGAACAGGGGCCACGTATCTCAGAGAGGTCCTTCGGAGTGAGGAGTTCTTCAAGAGGGTTTAGGGTTTAGGGCTAGGGTTTAGGGTTTAGGTTTTAGGGTTTAGGGTTTAAGGCCCCTGCAGAGGGCTAAGAAGATGGCTAAGGCCACAGTCTGGTGGGCTGCTCTCTTAGAGATGCCTCGGGCGAGGTTTTGAAAGTTCAAAACTATTAAAACTATTAAAACTTTAATACAAAAAGCAGCCATGTCAAATAGTACATAGAGGTTCCTCTTACATATATATAATCGAAGCAATGAATAATACAATACAGTGCAATACATACAAAACAATAAGATATAGCATACAGTATCACATACGAAAGTTGAAGAAACTTCCTAATTAAAGCGGCTACAAACACCATGACCCCCAGAGGTCATGAGTCCAAGCGCTAGGCCGGATGTCTCGGCTAGGGAAGATTTACGGGTTTGAGGGTTTAGGGTTTAGGGTTTAGGGTTTAGGGTCAAGGGGTATACCGAGGGTTTAGGGTTCGAGGGTTTCAGGGTTGGGTTTCAGGCTTTAAAGCTTTCAGAGATTAAGGTTTAAAGGCCACCAGGCGTTAGTTGAGGGTTTTGAGGGCCATCAAAACTGGCTGAGCAGTCATACAGCTCGGGCTCAGGGTGCAGAGGCAGGCTGCCAGAACACCAGGTATACCCCTTGACCCTAAACCCTAAACCCTAAACCTTAAACCCTAAACCCTTCATGCAGCCGCGGAACTCGACATCCAGGCGCTTCTCCTTCTCACCGTCACCGGTGTCAGTCACAGTAGCGTTGCCTCAGTTTATGGGGCTAGGGTTTAGGGGTCAGGGTTAGGGTTTAGGGTTTAGGGTTTAGGGTTTAGGGTTTAGGGTTAGGGTTTAGGGTTTAGGGTTTAGGGTTTAGGGTTTAGGGTTTAGGGTGTAGGGTGTAGGGTGTAGGGTATAGGGTGTAGGGTAGTTTAGGGTCATGGCCCTTAAAACTTCCAACCTCGAGTCGACTCTCAGGAACACGATGCACATCGCTGCTCTCAGTTTTCAAGTGAGCCACTAACCCCTCAACTCCAAACCCCATCTGAAAGCTGGTTGCTTGTGATAAATGAGGATAGAAAGTCGGGTAGTTGTGTAGTTCTGAGTATAGACTTGCTTGGGAGGGTTCTTCTTGACACTGCTACGAGCTTCTCACTACGCGAAAACCCTTGGGCCTGTCACCTCCGGCTTCTCTCTCTAGGCTATACTTGGGTTTAGGGTTTAGGGCTTTAGGGGTTTGTCAGGTTGAGGCTATACTTATATAGCTGGGGCTGTTATGAAGGGAAGGCATGGCTGGCTCGGGGTGCTTGTAACCTGACTTCTACCCGCGACGTAGACCCCTAAGCCCGAAACCCCATACCCAGCACTACCCAGGCGCCAGGGCTTCGGGGCCTCTGAGCCGGGGTAACCCTAAACCCTAAGCCCTAAACCCTAAACCCTAAACCCTAAACCCTAAACCCTGAAGCCTCATCGATTGCAGCTTGAAAGTTGAAAGCTTTGATAGCTCGAGCAAAGCCGCTAGTCCTCTCTCCCCTCAAATTAGCCTGCCCGGCCTTCCGAAAGACTGATTCCCCAACATCGTATAGTACAGCGTGCGGAATGTCTAATCTTAGGGGGTAGTAGGGGGTTTGATAAGCGAGGGGAATCAGTGAGCCAGGCCATGTGCTGCACCAGAAACCCAAGGTTTTAAAGCTCAGGATTTCGGGGTTTCGGGTTTCGGAAAAAGGATTTAGGGTTTAGGGTTCAGGGTTTAGGGTTTAGCGTTTGGCGTTTAGGGTTTAGGGCTCAGGGGCCTGCGAAAGTGTAGGGATGTTCAAGGATGCTGCGAGCGTAGGGTTTAGGATTTAGGGTTTAGGGTTTGGGGTTTAGGGTTTAGGGGTCAGGGGTTAGGGGTTTAGGGTTTAGCTCGAGACCTTCAACCCCTGCGGCCGCCCCCTCCAGTTGCTGTCGCGGAGGCTGGTGAGGTGCGTGTCCGGTGTGGAAGCCTTGAGAACATCCTGGAACCTCACCTACACAGCACATGGGGGTTTAGTGTTTAGGGGTTAGGGTTTAGGGTTTAGGGTTGAGGGTTGAGGGTTGAGGGTTTAGGGTTTAGGGTTTAGGGTTCGGACCTAGGAATGGAAAAGGGTGCCTTTTTTTGGTTATTAGAATGGGACTGCAAGGCCCCCCAAAAAGGAACAAGGGGCCTAACCTGGGACCTTCGGAATTGAAACACAGAGATGAATCCCTAAACCCCCTCAATGCAGCCTACTCCCGGCCGAATACGTCAAATGGTGTCTTTGCCGACTCTCGAAGGTTGTCCTTAGAACTTGTGGTACACAAAAAAAGTTGTTTGAGCTACCCTGCAACACTGAACCCTAAAGCCTAAATAGACCTCAAACCATAAATGTACAGCTTATTAACCCCATGCCCGAAACACAAGAATGTGCGCCCCTCAGGGCGCCGGGTGTCTGAGGGGGTCGGGTTTCTAGGGGTTCGGGATTTGGAGGTTAGGGTTTAGGGTTTAAGGGCGTCGGCCCTGAAGCTGTGGAGGTCGGGCTTAGGGCTCTCTGAAGAATTCCGGGCCCAAGCCCAAAAAATCCAAAACCCCCCAAGAAGCCCTCAGAAAACGGTGTAGGGTCTAGGGCTTGGGGTTCACCCCTCCCCCTCTCCATCAGCCCAAAACCCCAAACCCAAGCCCTCGGCAGCTGGAAAGCAGAATGCCTCGAACTTTGCATAGAGCAGGTCCTCGTCTTCGGTTACTTGCAGCTTCATGGGTAGCTGGAGGGTTTCGGGTGCTTATACGGGGTGGAGGGCAAGTGTACCTGAAGGTATGTGTATGTGCCATGAATAAGGTTATAGGCAGTTGTATCTGCAGTGTCGCTACTTCTAGCCCTGGGCATACCTGGCCATGAACCTCCAAGTGCCGACAAAAATCAACCCGGCGCACGCCCAGAACCCATAGCTTCGGGTTAGGGAGGCTCGGAGCTGTTTTCTCATTTTATTTGGGGGGGGGGGGGGGGGGGGGGGGGGGGGGGGGGGGGGGGATGGGTGGTGTGTTTTTTTTGGGATGTTTTGGCTGATACAGCTTAGCTTTTGTTTTTTTTTTTTTTTTTTTTTTTTTTGTTTTTTTTTTTTTTTTTTTCTTTTTGTTTTTTTTTTTTTTTTTTTCGTCCGGGGGGGGGGGGGGGGGGGGAGTAGTACCGAGTGTGCTTTCGGGGCTGTTTGCCGGACTTCGGGGTTAGGGAACCCGGGGAGATACTGTCAGCCACCTTTGCATTTCCAGCACAAACCCATGCAACCCCCGAGCAGCCTAAACCCGGCTTAGGGTTTAGGGTTTAGGGTTTCGGGTTTAGGGTTTAGGGTTTAGAGTTTAGGGTTTAAGGCAGTTTAAGGTTTAGGGTTCACGGTCTAGGGTTTAGGCTTTAGGGTTTAGGGTTTAGGGCTACTTGCGGCAGGGTGGCAAGGTCGTCCGGCCTCGGCAGCTGCGAGGTACCGCAAAGAGTCCCCCTACACCCCCAAAAAAAAACCAAAGCCGCATTTCTTCATTGAATATTGTTGAGGGTTTGGGTTTAGGGTTTAGGGTTTAAGGTTTAAGGTTTAGGGTTTAGGGTTTAGGGTTTAAGGTTTAGGGTTTAGGGTTTAGGGTTTAGGGTTTAGGGTTTAGGGTTTAGGGTTTAGGGTTTAGGGTTTAGGGTTTAGGGTTTAGGGTTTAGGGTTTAGGGTTTAGGGTTTAGGGATGAGGGCTGAGGTCTTCGGATTCAAGGTTCAGGGTCGCTCTCCTGTGCCACCCGGGAGCAGGTAGACCTCGTCGATCTTCAATCGGACCATGCAGGCGTCGTCCTCGTTCGCTGGGCTCTCCTGCACCACCTTGAGCCAGTCGAACTGCCTCAGCGCTCAAAAGGCCTAAGGCACCAAGCCCGAGAACCCTTTGGGGTTAGGGTCTAGGGTTTAGGGTTTAGGGTTTAGGGTTTAGGGTTTAGGGTTTAGGGTTTAGGGTTTAGGGTTTAGGGTTTAGGGTTTAGGGTTTAGGGTTTAGGGTTACTCAGACACCCCAAAGAATTTCAAAATGGAACCCTAAAACCCTAAACCTTGGTAGGGTTTATGTCCAAATGATGCGGGTCTTCTGGACTTCTTGCTTGCTAGCATCCCCCGAATGCACACTCAACAGAAACACTCACCAGCATGTATCAGGAACCCTAAGGGCGGGTGTACCAAAAAAAGGGGCTCCCTGATATAGACCCCAAGTAGTAGGATTCCCTTATAAGGACCCCAAGAAGGCATCCCCCCAATTTGACAAACCCCCATATTCTACACTCACTACCCACACTCATAAAAAAGAAACCTGCTTCGCAGTCCTCACAGTCTTAGGACCGCGAAGTGCGCAGCACTTAACCAACCCCACTTGTCATCCATCGCGGAAGCTGTAGGGTTTAGGGCTTGGGGTTTAGGGTTTAGGGTTTAGGGTTTAGGGTTTAGGGTTTAGGGTTTAGGGTTTAGGGTTTAGGGTTTAGGGTTTAGGTTTTAGGGTTTAGGGGGTTGGATGGGTTTTGGGCTTTAGGGGTTTTGGGGAAAGCTTCCTGGAAGCCCATGTTCCTGGATCAGGATCTTGGCTTAACCAGAGTTTAGACAGGGGGCTTCGAAAAACCGTATTCGGCAAGCATCCCTAAACCATAAACCCTAAACCCTAAACCCTAAACCCTAAACCCTAAACCCTAAACCCTAAACCCTAAACCCTAAACCCTAAACCCTAAACCCTAAACCCTAAACCTGCAGCGTAGTGGCAGCAGGATGTGGCCGCCACTGGAGTCATCCTTCTGGCTCAGCTCGATCCACTTCCTTTCTAAAGGCTTTTGTTGGAGCTGGTCCCATTGAATCGACACCTGAACCCTAAACCCTAAACCCTGAACCCTAAACCCTAAAACCTTAAACCCTAAACCCTAATCCCTGAACCCTAAACCCTAAACCCTAAACCCTACACCCTAAACCCGGACCCGAATAAGCCCAAAACGGATCCCAAAATTGAGTCTGAGTCCCAGAAGCGACACCCAAAACCGATTCCCGTCTGTATAAGTCACAAAGAGGGCCCCATTTTGGGGGTCGTTTTCGTGACCTAGAATAGAGGTCCAAATTTCCCCGCCGCTTGTGCCCAAGATGCACCTCCAGCAGATGTGCACTGCACATATCACCCTAGAAGCTTTCACTGCGTGCAACTAACTGACAACAAGGATCCAAAAAGTCAGACAACCATAAACATCATTCGAAAGCCCATTCGAAACCAAACTTGTTTCAACTGTGAGGGTCCAGACTTGCGCGGGAAAACTGAAGCCGGAAAATGACCTCGAAGTCGCGTCTCCCCAGGCGGCTTCTTGAAACATCTGACTCTTGAAGCATTGAAACTGAGCGGGCGGGGGAGAGGCTCTTGTACGTGGAAAAGGCCAGTGCCCAAAAAGTAGTGCCCAAATCACACTTCACATTTCTTTGCATTGAACTTTGCTGCTTGTGGGTCTCCAAACCCACACATCTCACTCCGACACACTGAGCACACTTGCACATTCGAAAAGTCACTCGAGATTTTCCAAGCCATGACAGTTGAGTAAGTTAAGATTTCTAAGCCCAAAACCTGACTTCCAAGCCAAAAAAAAGCTGAGTCAGCTGAGGTTTTCCAAGCTGCAATCTGAGTAAGTTGACCAGATTTCCAACCCACAAGCTGAGGTTTTCCCGGCAAATGTCTAGTCGTCGAGGGTTTCGGCTGCTGACAAGCAGACTGATGACCAATGGAGTTGTATGGAGAGATCACATCCCACAGTTTTGAGCAAGATCGAATCTCTGAGCATGCGGTCCTTGATTTGGCAAGCGCGTCGATTACAGTGATGTGGTTCGAGCGCCCGATCCTCAGCTTGGCTGCACTTAGGAGGGTAGCTAAAAAGTAAAAATTCAGCTGCCTCATTAAGAAACCCAATAAACCCCAAAAAGGTAAGGATCTAAAGTTACGGTAAAGTACCACAAAGTCAGCTTCATCGGCCAATCTACCAGCCCACTACCAGCCCCCCCACTGCCACAGCTAGGAGCCTGTGCTCACTCGCACCTACACACAGGGACAACGACGTCTCTCCGGAAACTGCAAAGGGCTTAGGGTTTAGGGTTTAGGGTTTAGGGCTTAGACAGAAAGCAAACTGAAATGCCCCCCTGAGCGGCAGCACATCGCTCTTCATGTTGTTCCAGTCGTACACTTCGATGCGGAGAGTCTGGCCCACATCCTGTGCTTGAAAAAAGGGCGAAAAAAAAACAAGGAGAAGAAGAAGGTGAACAGCAGCAGCAAAAGCACCACCACCACCACTACCACCACTACCACCACCGCCACCACCGCCACCACCGCCACCGCCGCCACCACCGCCACCACCGCCACCACCGCCACCACCGCCACCACCGCCACCACCGCCACCACCGCCACCACCGCCACCATGCCGAACAACGGCTGATAAAAGAAGCATGCGGGGGCCCCAAAAAAAATGAGCGCCGGGTGGGTCTACGCGCCTGGAGCCTTCGTATTCCTAATGTGTGTCCTTTCTCCTTTGTTGGGAGTCCTCTAGGGTTTAGGGTTTAGGGTTAGGGTTTAGGGTTTAGGGTTTCGGGTTTAAGGTTTAGGGGCTTTGGCGAGGTTCCCGAGTAACCCTAGTGGAAAGAAAGGCGGCCCCTAGCTGCTTAAGGCAGGTAAAAGGCATCCTCTGCCTAAGGGAATACTGGGAGGTTCATGGTACTTCTTAACCAATTACAGTACAGAACCCACTTATAAGCCCCTTAAATTACGTTTCCCTCTAAGTCCCTTAGACAACAGTCTCGAACCCTGGAGCCCCTTATAAGCCCCACAAGCTCCACCTACTAAAAAACCATACACCCCGAACCCTAAACCCTAAACCCTAAACCCTAAACCCTAAACCCTAAACCCTAAACCCTAAACCCTAAACCCTAAACCCTAAACCCTAAACCCTAAACCCTAAACCCCAAACCAAGAGAGCAAACACTTGAGCCAAGTAGCATACACCAAGAAGTCATGCCGCACTTCTTCCGTGACCACCAGCTCGCCATTCGCCAGCCTCTGCTTCGCGCTTTCAGACCGCCTACTCTAGAGGGGCCTGAAGAATTCGTTTAGGGTTTAGGGTTTAGGGTTTAGGGTTTAGGGTTTAGGGTTTAGGGTTTAGGGTTTAGGGTTTAGGGTTTAGGGTTTAGGGTTTAGGGTTTAGGGTTTGGGTTTAGGGTTTAGGGTTTAGGGTTTAGGGTTTAGGGTTTAGGGTTTAGGGTTTGGGGTTTTTGGGGTTTGGGGTTTAGGGTTTGGGGCTGAGGGCTTCGGGTTTCGGGTGTGCGGTTTTACGGTTTTAGGGTTTAGCGTTTGGGGTTTAGGGTTTAGGATTTAGGGTTAGGGGCCTCGATAATTACAATAGTTTTTTTGGTGGGGGGGGGGGGGGGGGGGAGGTGTTGTTTAGTTATATGGGGACCATAAGGGAATACCATTAGTAAGTATACCGACCCCTCTAGTACTGGGGTGAGAGGGTTGTCGGTTTTAGGGTTTAGGGTTTAGGTGTAGGGTTTAGGGTTTAGGGGATTTTCGGTTTGGGGGCTTAGGGGTCTATCCCTAAGCCCTAAACCCTCTCTGGGGGTTCAGGGGTTGGGGTTGCTAAGGTTTGGTGTTCAGGGCCTGCGTTAAGGGGCCACTGTACCCCAAGAAACAGGAAACTGTAGAACAAAACTCAGGACTCATGACGCGTTCTGGTTTAGGGTTTAGGGTTTAGGGTTTAAGGTTTTGAGGTAACTGCCACCGCGCCTGCCTGTCGCTGTCAGATACGTTGGGGCTTCGGACTGAGGTCTTAGTTGGACTTGAGCCCTAAACCCTCAGCCCTAAGCCCTAAACCCTAAACCCTAAAACCCTAAACCCCAAAATCTAGAACCCAAAATCGCCAGCCTAAGCCCATCCGTTAGTCCCCCTAAATGCGGAAAACCCTACAAAAGTCAATCCCCTCCAACCCTCCCCAAATAAACCGTAAGCCCTGAACCCTAACCCCGAAACCCTCAACCCTAACCCCTAAACCCTAAACCTAACGCCCCCTAAAGAAAACCCCAGCGCACTTCACTGAGCAGCAAATCCGGGTCGGTCCATTTGGGATGGCAGGTGCTCTCCAGGTGTATGGAGGTCCATTCCTGGGTTTAGGGTTTAGGGTTAGGGCTTAGGATTTAGGGTTTAGGGTTTAGGATTAAGGGTTTAGGGTTGAGGGTTTAGGGTTTAGGGTCTAGAGTATGGACGTTCATTCCTGGGTTTCGGCGGCTCAGTCTAAGGGTTTTGGGGCTATGACTTTCGGGTTCAGTCTTCACCTGAAAAAACCCGTTCTCCGTTTCATTCGGTGGGGGGGGGGGAGGGGGAGGAGGCAGCGAAGTGGCGCCAAGGTTTGGGCACTTTGAAGGCAGGGCCTTAGGAGTCGTGAGGTGACAGGGGACGTATGGAGCTTGGGACGTATAACCCTAAACCCTAAACCCTAAACCCCCCTTTCACCCTCAAGCCCCCAAGCCATGAGATCGCCCTAAACCCACGAGCCTCCAAGTGGGTAGCTACAGCTGAAGAGATGAGTAAGATACCAACTCTAAACCCTAGACCCTAGAAGCTAAACCCTAAACCCTAAACCCGAAAGCTTCAGGTTTAGACCGGCGGCGTCGTCGGCCAGGCGTATCCGGACGTACGGATCGCTCGTGCGCTCGCTGAAGATGTTGATGTCGTTTGCGTAGAGGTCCTTGGCCTCAATGGCCTGGCCAGGATGCGTGGGTTTAGGGTTTAGGGTTTAGGGGTTGGGGGTTTAGGGTTTAGGGTTTAGGGTTTAGGGTTTAGGGTTTAGGGTTCAGCATCTCAAGTTCGAGCATTTACTAGGCCAGCAGTGTGTGTAGGCAACGAAAACAAACCCACCCGCCCAAAGAATCCCATAACATTACGACAATAGAAGGTTCAATATTTCTCTTCGGATGCACCAATACACAAAACAATCGCGCCGTAGTACCAAGCACTTGACACAAGCCACGCCAGGCCTTGAGGCCCTGAAACCCTAAACACCAGGCCGTGAGACCTTGAAACCCAAAACACCAGGCCTTGAGGCCCTGAAACCCTAAACACCAGGCCTTGAGGCCCTGAAACCCTAACGCCAGGCCTTGAGGCCCTGAAACCCTAAACACCAGGCTGTGAGGCCTTGAAACAAAGGGGTCGGAGGGGTCAAAATAAAATGGATCAAATTCTCCAATTGGTGCTGAACAATGGGGGGTAAAGGGGTCGGAGGGGTCGAAATGGATCAAATTCTCCAATTGGTGCTGAACAATGAGGGGTCAAAGGGGTCAGAAGGGTCGACATGGGTCAAATTCTCCAATTGATGCTGAAATGGGGGGTCAAAGGGGTCCAAAGGGGTCGGAGGGGTCGAAATGGATCAAATTCTCCAATTGGTGCTGAACAATGGGGGTGCCAAGAGGGTCGGAGGGGTCGAAATGGATCAAATTCTCCAATTGATGCTGAACAATGGGGGGGTCAAAGGGGTGCAAAGGGGGCGGAGGGGTCGAAATGGATCAAATTCTCATGGGGGTGCCAAGGGGGTCGGAGCGGCCGAAATGGACAAAATTCTCCAATTGGTGCCTAACAATGGGGGGTCAAAGGGGTCGGAGCGGTCGAAATGGATCAAATTCTCCAATTGGTGCTGAGCAATGGGGGGTCAAAGTGGTCGGAGGGGTCGAAATGGATCAAATTCTCCAATTGGTGCTGAACAATGGGGGGTCAAGGGGTCCGAGGGGTCGAAGGGAGCAAATTCTCCAATTCGTGCCAAACAATGGGGGGTTGGGTCAGAGGGCCGGGTCAGAGAAATCTAGCAAATGAGGTGGTCATTTCCGCTATATAAATTCTATTGATCGAGCCATTTTTACCGAATCCTGGGGTTCCCCCCCACGAAGCCTCCCTGAAAGGGGTCGGAGGGGTCAAAATGGATCAAATTCTCCAATTGGCCAATTGGTGCTGAACAATGGGGGGTCAGAGAGGGGTCGGAGAAGCCAAAATGGATCCAATTCTCCAATTTGTGCTGAACAATGGGGGGTCAGAGGGGTCGGAGAAGCCAAAATGGATCAAATTCTCCAATTGGTGCTGAACAATGGGGGGTCAAAGGGGTCGGAGGGGCCAAAATGGATCAAATTCTCCAATTGGTGCTGAACAACGGGGGGGTGAAAACAAAAGAAATGGATCAAATTCTCCGATTGGTGTTTAACGTTTAGGGTTATATGGTAGAGAGGTTTAGGGTTTAAGGTTTAGGGTTTAGGGTTCAGGGTTTAGGGTTCGGGGTTCAGGGTTTAGGGTTTAGAGTTTAGGGTGTAGGGTTTGGAGTGTAGGGTTTAGGGGCTAGAGCAGTCCGTCTCATGAACGGCCAAGATGCCGTAACGCGGAGGACACCGACAGGCTTTGGGTCTCGCAGCGTCGCTGTGTCCACCACGTCTTCCTCGGATTCAACCCTCAGCCCTAAGCTTACGTTGTTTAGGGTTTAGGGTTTCGGGTTTAGGGTTTAGGGCTTAGGGCTTAGGGCTTAGGGTTTAGGGTTTAGGGTTTAGGATTTAGGGTTTAGGGTAGGGAATGGGGGAATGAGGTGCCCTATATAATCCCTTAAGGCCCTAACTCCCAAATTCCCTGCTAACCAACAGTAATTAAGGGTGTGCGTGCTACATTCTCAGCGGGAGTTATGGAACTAAAGTAGGTACAGTACTGTACACCCCCCCTGTATACCTTTTGAGGGACTATATACCTCCACAATTCCCTGCTAAGAAGCAGTAGGTGCAGGGTTAAGGAGCCTAAAGCTGACGTCAAATGCTCTAGGGGTAACCACACCGGATGTTTTGCTACCCTAAGGCCTAAGCCCGAAACCCTCAACCCTGAACCCTGAACCCTCAACCCAAAACCCCAAAAACCCTAAACCCTGAATCCTAACCCTAAACCCACTTAAGCCCAACCCAAGCCTAAACCCTAAACCCGAAGCCCTAAACTGCCTTTCAGTCCCAGTCTCATCCCTGAGGAAGGGTCTGAACCAAACATTCGGCAGCACCAGGCGTCTGGCCACGAGCTTCTCCAAGAGGTTGGTAATCATACCTTCCTGCCAGGGATTGGTGGCTGAGAAGCCCTGAACCCTGCAGGGGTTTAGGGTTTAGGGTTAAGGGATAAGGGTTTAGGGTTTAGGGTTTAGGGCTTAGGGTTTAGGGTTCCGGGTTTAGGGTTTAGGGTTTCGGGTTTAGGGTTTAGGCTGAAGCCAACAAGCCCTGAGCCCCTAAACCCTAAACTCGAAACCTCGACTAGCCGAGGGCATGAGGCTCCCAGCCCTAAAGGGTGCCCCTGCATTGACCCAACAAAACGACAAGGCCTGAACCCTTAACCCTGAACTCTAAACCCTAAACCCTAAACCCTAACTATAGAGTATGATTTCTAGTTCATGGTTGGGATAGCATTAAAAGTTGTAATTTCAATTTCGTTATTGAGTTTAAGTACCCTTAAAAATGTAACATGCTACCCCACTATGACAAAGATTAGCGCATCAGGGTGCTAGGGTTTCGGGTTGAGGGCTTTGGGTTCTAAGGTTTTGAGGCTTTCGGCCTTTAGGGTCTGTAAGGTTTTCTCTGTAGGGTCTTGTTAAGGACTCCTTCGTGCCCCCAAAGAACAAGGCATCCAGGAGAGCAGCGCATGACTATTCGACGGTAGGGGCGAACAGATGGTCCCTAACACCGTGGAACTGTCTGCACCTACCGTTTCGTGGTAATGACCCCTTAAATACGAAGGTATAACCCATCAAACTGCACTATAAATTGCTAGTTATGATATACGACTCTACACATCACTTTATAAGGTATATGGGGGGTTTACGAAAAGAAGGGACCCCTTAATGTAGTCCCCAAGTAGTAGGAGTCCCTCATAATAAGGACCCCAAGAAGGTACCCCTGATTTAGGAAACCCCATATGGAGTCCAACCATTAAAGTGCACTATAGATACTGCTAGTTATGATATACTACTATATATATATATACTACCATACATCACTTTATAAGGTATATGGAGACCAAACATTACACCGCGTATAAACAGCCCCCGAGCCACGGAAAAGTCCAGCTCTGATGCCAGCTCCGCCAGCCTCGAATTCGGGTATGGGGTATGGGGTTTGGGGTTTGAAGTTTGGGGTTTGGGGTTTGGGGTTTGGGGTTTAGGGTTTAGGGTTTAGGGTTTAGGGTTTAGGGTTTAGGGTTTAGGGTTTAGGGTTTAGGGTTTAGGGTTTAGGGTTTAGGGTTTAGGGGTAGGGTTTTCTTTCCTAGAGCTTACAGGCTTACAGGGTTCAACCCAAATCCACACTATAGCTTAAACCGCCTACGCCTAAACCCCAAAACCGCCTAAAACGTCTAAACCCTCGCTAAACCCAATCGCAATGGCTCGAAAGAGACCCTTCGAGTTCCCCATGCACCGCTCGAGCCTGCGCTGGGGCCGCGCTAAAAAAAGCTCTGACACTGAAAACAGACCCTTATACACGCGCCAAACCCTCAAAGCCGAAACGGCCTGTCATCCTAACCTTAGGGGCTGACTACCCCTGCCCGTATCAGGTTAACCTTGTATATATCATGGGATTCTATACAACCAAAAAAGGTTAAAGGCTACTTACCCAGTCCCTAAGGGGTAGGTAGCCCTAAACCCTAAACCCTAGACCCTAAACCCTAAACCCTAAACCCTAAACCCTAAACCCTAAACCCTAAACCCTAAACCCTAAACCCTAAACCCTAAACACTACCACCCTCGGCCAGGGCCGCTTCCCGCAGCTGGGACGCTTGGTGAAGTGTAGGTCCAAGACAGGGGGATCCAGGAAGTAGATGACCAAGCCTGGGAGGGTTTAGGGTTTAGGGTTTAGGGTTTAGGGTTTAGGGTTTAGGGTTTAGGGTTTAGGGTTTAGGGTTTAGCGTTTAGGGTTTAGGGTTTAGGGTTTAGGGTTTCGGGTTGGTGTTTTGGGGGTTGCGGGGGTTTAGGGGCTCGCACTACCTGAAGAAACCCTAAAACCTTAAACCCTACACCCTGGACGTCCTTAACAGGCAGGCCTTGTAAAACAGTTACTACCCCCAAGCCCTAAACCCGACTTACGCACTTTGGGTTCCTGTGCCTGGGTTTAGGGTTTAGGGTTTAGGGGTTTAGGGGTTTAGGGTTTAGGGTTACAGGGGCCCAAATATACCTTAAGAGTCCGAACCCTACTTTGTTGTCGGGTGCCGAAGAACCCTACAAGGAGGTTGATCATAAGAGCCTGCAAAAAAAACCTAAACCCTAAACCCTAAACCCTAAACCCTAAACCCTAAACCCTAAACCCTAAACCCTAAACCCTAAACCCTAAACCCTACAAGGGGGTTCTTCAGGTACAGTTCATAGCTAGTCATATACATGGACCCTTCAGGTGGACAACAGTGCTACCGAAAGACCGAAACGGTGCACCCTACTAAACTGCTTGAATATCAGGTCTCAGAATGGCTAGGGTTTAGGGTTTAGGGTTTAGGGTTTAGGGTTGAGGGTTGAGGGTTGAGGGTTGAGGGTTGAGGGTTGAGGGTTTAGGGTTTAGGGTCTATAAGGTTTAGGGCTCGAGCCCCAAAATTTTAAAACCGCCGTCAGGCAGCCGCCCAGGATAGGGCTCCTGTCCAGAAGGGGATCCTCAGCTGTGACATATTGGTAGATTCGGTGCTTTCTGAAGAAATTCTGATATGAATATTATTTTACAGTGTCTTATACTCTTTTCGTATATATTCTTATATGAATGTGATTTTACATTGTGCTATACTTTTGTACTATGATATGATTCTACTGTTCTCTGATCTTATGAAATTTCAGCGCCATATTTCCACACTACGATATGGCTATGTTACAATATTACCATACTCTTACATTACTATGCTCTATAATACCAAAATTTAGGGTTTAGGGTTTAGGGTTTAGGGTTTAGGGTTTAGGGTTTAGGGTTTAGTTTTTAGTAAACCCTAAACCCTGAACCTTGGGCTCGTTGCTGACACCGGTGCAAGAGAGCCCACTTCCCTACAACAGGTTTACGGTCTGGGGGTTAGGGGCTCAGAGCTTAGGGTTTAGGGTTTAGGGTTTAGGGTTTAGGGTTTAGGGTTTAGGGTGCGGGTCTTCGGGTTTAGGGGTTTGTGTGTGTTAGTTAGTCTGTTTCGTTTCGTTTTGTCTTGCAACACCAAAAAGAAAACAGCACCACAAGGCCCAACCCAGCCGGGGCGTCGAGGCGAAGGACCAGCGTGCCGTGGAGGGTGCAGCTCTTAATCCCGGCGACCAGGGCGCCCACGGCCAGCTCAACCTAGGGTTTGGGGTTTTGGGTTTAGGGTTTAGGGTTGAGGGTTGAGGGTTTAGGGTTTAGGGCTAAAAGAATCGCAGCGGTTGACAATGGCCCCTCCTAACAGCCACAATCACAGCATGATTTTGGAGCCTTCATTGTACAGTTGGGCATGAAGACAGGGTTTAGGGTTTAGGGTTTAGGGTTTTGGGTTTTGGGATTTAGGGTTTCAGAGTTTAGGTTTGAATAACATCCCTGCCTGTAACCTGTTGGTTCTTAGTAGGGAAAGAAGGAACTTGGCGGCACCGTATATCCCCCCTCATAGAACCCCTGTAAACGAGTATACAGCGGATCTCTTTCTTTACTAGGCACAAGAATAATTGAGATTAGAGTGGAAACAAAACTCCCGACATTTGCTCGCCTGAGCTCTAAACCCTAAACCATGTTTAAGTTTCAACGCGGCCCTAGAACCCAGCATCCAATTTGCGCCTCAAGGTTGTCTTATGGTTTAGGGTTTAGGGTTTAGGGTTTAGGGTTTAGGGTTTAGGGTTTAGGGTTTAGGGTTTAGGGTTTAGGGTTTAGGGTTTAGGGTTTAGGGTTTAGGGTTAGGGTTTAGGGTTTAGGGTTTAGGGGTCAGTATTCGGACTTTACGGCTTACGGTTGATGTTTGGGCTTTAGGGTTGAGGATTTTGGGGTTTAAGGCGGGCTTCAGGGTTCTTAGGGTATGGGTTTACGTCACAAGAAAAGTAGCACGCACGAAAAGGCCCGGAACCCTGAAGCCCGCTGAGAGGCGTCGACCTTGCTCTGTAGCAAGATGTCCACGTGAAGTTCCTGAGTTTAGGGTTTAGGGTTTAGGGCTTAGGGCTTAGGGCTTAGGGCTTAGGGTTTTTGGGATGTTTAGGGGTGTGTAAGTTTAGGGGCCACATGATGCGGGACCCCCGAAGGGTTTTTAGGGTTTCGTGTTTCTTTGGATCCTGAAGCCCTTCAGCCCCGAAACCTCCTAAACCCTAAAGCCCTACACCCAAAACCCCAAACCCAGACTAAACCCTAAACCCAAATACCCTAAACCCTAAATCCGAAACCCCTAACCCCTAACCCCAGACCCTAGACCCTAAACCCTAAACCCTAAAGCACAACAGGCCCCGTTGCCCTAGGTCGGGTTATTGGGATCCTGTACAAGCCCGACACCAACCACTTGGAGCTTCATGGGTTTAGGGTTTTAGATTTTCGGTTTAGGGTTTAGGGTTTAGGGTTTAGGGTTTAGGGTTTAGGGTTTAGGGTTTAGGGTTTAGGGTTTAGGGTTTAGGGTTTAGGGTTTAGGGTTTAGGGTTTGGGGTTTGGGGTTTAGGGTTTAGGGCACTTATAACCCCAATTGGGGTTTGGGGTTAAGGGTTAAGGGTTGTAAGCCCAACTACAAGGGGGGTTTACGATAGTTCGGCACCCCTAATGTAGACCCCCAAACTGTAGGATCCCCTTAGAACAACGTACTCTTGATTCAGGAAACCCCCCATGACTGCACTTAAAAGCCCCCTAAGTCCCCCAAGTAGGTTATGCGTAGACTTAGAATACAATGGGGTAGAAATTTAGGGTTTAGAGTTTAGGGTTTAGGGTTCTAAGTGTAGGGTTTAGGGTTTAGGGTTTAGGGTTTGGGGTTTAGGGTTTAGGGTTTAGGGTTTAGGGTTTAGGGTTTAGGGTTTAGGGTTTAGGGTTTAGGGTTTAGGGTTTAGGGTTTAGGGTTTAGGGTTTAGGGTTTAGGGTTTAGGGTTTAGGGTTGTAGGGTTTAGGGTTTAGGGTTTAGGGTTTAGGGTTTAGGGTTTAGGGTTTAGGGTTTAGGGTTTAGGGTTTAGGGTTTAGGGTTTAGGGTTTAGGGTTTAGGGTTTAGGGTTTAGGGTTTAGGGTTTAGGGTTTAGGGTGCAATATAGCGGCCTTAATATTTAGAATAGGGTGTTGCGGGCCATTATAGTTATAGAGGGACCATAAGGGAATAACCCTATCTTAGCCCCCAAGATAGCGAGAGAAGGCCCCGAACAAGGTTTTGTTGGGGGTTTAGGGCTTAGGGTCTATAAGGGGGCGGGATAATTACGAATAGTATTCCTTTCTGGTCCATACGTCGATATACGATAAAACACAAAAAACTCGATTCAACTTTTTCAGGGCCCAGGATTACCACGTTTTGTTAGCGACTGAAGGATCTGGTCTAGGGTCTAGGGTTTAGGGTTAGCGGGTTTAGGGTTGAGGGTTTGGGGGGGTTAGACCCTAAACCCCAAAACCTAAACCCTAAACCCTAAACCCTAAACCCTAAACCCTATTCTCGGCCAAGGCTCAATGCCACGATTCGCCTCCTCGGCTCGCAGGCAGGGCGCGTCCCAGATCGTGACCGGACCCACTGTCGGAGTCCTTAATGCTCGTCTTCTGAGAGGGTGTTGGTTTGGGGGCTTTGCGGTTTAGGGCTTGGGGTTTAGCGTTTAGGGTTGGTGAGTTGGGGTTTAGGGTTTAGGGTTTAGGGTTTAGGGTTTAGGGTTTAGGATTTAGGGTTTAGGGTTAGGGTTCAGGGTTTAGGGTTGAGTAAGGGTTAACAGTTTAGGGTTTCGGGTTCGGGAGGCCCAGTGGATTTCACCCACCGCGCAGTGAGCCCACTACTCTGCATCAAGGCATACTCGGAGCGAATCGGTAGTTATAAGCCCTAAACCCTACACCCTAAACCCTAAACCCAAACAAGGCTACGACCGGTTGGGACTGTCCCTGGGCGCATCAGGCACGGCAGCCAGGGCGAAACAGGGCTTGGGGATTTGGCGGGGTTTAGGGCTTAGGGTTTAGGGTATCCCCACATGTGGGAATTCAGGAAGAGGTTTTAGCTGGGGGTGTCTAAGCACTTCGAAACTGAGTTAAGCTGGATCATGAAACGGAAAACCCTAAGCTCTAAACCCTAAACCCTAAACTCGCCGCGCGTCGTCTTGCCCAAAGTAAACTTCGTAAAGGTGAGGCCCTTCAGCGGCAGCGGTACCTTATCCTGGATCTTGGGCTCAACGGTTTCCTTCATGATCTTGTGCAAGGCAGAGTCGATCTTGGGCCACAGCCTCAGTCGCTTATAGGGTTTAGGGTTTAGGGTTTAGGGTTTAGGGTTTAGGGTTTAGGGTTTAGGGCTACCCCGATTCTCGGAACCCCCCCCCATATTTCCGGCTTGTTGAATGCTTTGAGAGTTCCTTCGGGTTTGGTAATCAAAAAGCAGGCGCACAAAGTCCTGTCAGCTGCTGCGGGGTCTACTTGGAGGCTCAGGGGTTCCAACTAGTTATAACTGGCTGTAAGCTTACAAGTACTTGGGTACCTCCAACTTAAAACCCCTAAACCCTAACCCTAAACCCTAAACCCTAAACCCTAAACCCTAAACCCAAGAGTCTTCAAGCACACTTGAGTCCGTAAACCATACCTCAAGTATCGGCATACGAAAGCCGCAAAGTCTGCTGCAGAGTGCTGCTGCGAGGCTGTTTCATCAAGGGCTCCATCCATGTTAACTCCTGGCACAGGGTGCGCAGGGTTAAGGGATACCCACATCCCAACCCGTCGAATCAATCGACCTGATTAGTCGGGACCCTCAACCCACCACCCTAAACGCTACCCCTGAAGCAGTGTCGGCGGAATACCATAAACCCTCAACCAGCAACTAGCTGCCCATGGTCCTCGACGCGCGTGAGCTTCTGCCGTGGCAGCATGTATCTCGATTGGCCCTGGTTTAGTGCTAGGGTTTTGGGCATCTAAGCTGAGACCCTAAACCCTAAACCCTAAACCCTAAACCCTAAACCCTAAACCCTAAACCCTAAACCCTAAAGAGAGCAGCTGTGTGGGGACAGTTTAGGTGTTCTTGCTATAGGGGCTAAGAGTTCGGGGTTTAGGGCTTCAGGCCTTCAGGGCCTTCAGGGCCTTCAGGGCGCCTAAACCCCAAAACCCTAAACCCTAAACCCTCAACCCTAAACCCTAAACCCTAAACCTTCAGGGCCTTCAGAGCCTTCAGGGGTTTAGGGCTGTCAAGGCTCCGGGGATGCAGGGGCTTTCAGTGCCTTGGTGGGATTTAGGACTTCAGGGCCTTTGGGGTACCACACCCCTTGAAACCCTAAACCCTAAACCCTAAACCCTAAGCCCTAAGCCCTAAACCCTAAACCCTAAACCCTAAACCCCACACCCAGGAGGTCAGAAGGGCTGGGTGCGGAAGCTTCGGCCCTTGGAATCTTGGCTGACTTCTGAACCCCTCCTAGAAGTTTAACGGTTAGGGCTCCTTATTGACACGTTTACAAAAACCCAAAGGGTTTAAATAGTCCTTGATAGGGATTCGAGTATCCCATATTATAATCCCTACTAAGGTGCTGTTAGTACAAGGGGGAACATCCCCAGTGAACCCTAAACCCTAAACCCTAAACCCTAAACCCTAAACCCTAAACCCTATTAAGGAGCTGTTAGCACAAGGGGGAACATCCCCAAGGTTCAAGTCCTAAGGGCCAGAAGAAAGCCAAGGAATACTGCCGCGAGCTGACACAGCGCCGTGAAGAGTCAGCTTCGGACTGCGGTTCGGGCGTTCAGGGTAGTAGCTAAACCCTGAACCCTAAGCCCTAAACCCTACATCCTAAACCCTAAACCCTAAACCCTAAACCCTAAACCCTAAACCCTAAACCCTAAACCCTAAACCCTAAACCCTAAACCCTAAACCCTAAACCCTATCAAACCCAAGGTTTAGATAAACCCTCAGCCCACAAGACCAGCTGCGGCGATGAGATTTATGGGTTTTAGGGCTCTGGGCTCTGAAGGCGTTCGGTCCTTAGGTTCAGGGTTTAGGGTTTAGGGTTTAGAGTTCAGGGTTTGGGGTTTCGGATTTAGGGTTTAGGTTCGCAAGGGCTCAGGGTTTGGGGGGCGGGGGGGAAGGGAGAGAGATTCCGACATTCAGGGGTTTCTAAGGAACCCTGAGCCCTAAACCCTAAACCCTAAACACTAAACCCTAAACCCTAAACCCTAAGTCTCCGTTATGTGTTCGGGGTTGAGGGTTGGGGGACCTGCCTTGGAACGGGTCTCATCGCCCTCGGTGGTGTCGCTGTCGGTATCCTGGCCCGGCCGGCACGTCTAGGGGCTCTAAGAGATTTAGAGTCTAAGGGTTTTGGGGGGTAGGGGGTTTAGGGTTTAGGGTTTAGGGTTTAGGGGTTTAGGGTTTAGGGTTTAGGGTTTAGGGGTTTAGGGTTTAGGGTTTAGGGTTTAGGGTCTAGGGTTTAGGGTTTAGGGTTTAGGGTGTAGGCTCTAAGGGCCATGACATGGTCCCTTCACATGGGCCCTTGCTGAGGAACCCTTATATGCCCCGTATACACCCTGAGAAAACCAAGGGTTTGGGGCTTCGGGTTTAGGGTTTAGGGGTTAGGGTTTAGGGTTTAGGGTTTAGGGGTTAGGGTTTAGGGTTGAGGGTTTAGGGTTGAGGGTTTAGGGTTTAGGGTTTAGGGTTTAGGGTGTAGAGTTTAGGGTTTAGGGCTTCGGGCGTCCATACTTCAGAAGCCTTCAGCAAAGGCAAAGGACCATGTGAAGGGGCCATGTAACTTCCCCTAGATAGAAGTTGAAGGTTTGGGTCTAGGTTTTCGGGATTTAGGGCCTCATGCCTTTCGCGCGG